GGTTCTGCGCGGAATCACCCTGACCTCCCAGGGTATGGGCATTCACAACGAGCCCGGCACGTCCAAGCTCCCCCTCGGCACTGCTTCGGACCTCGTCGGTAACATGCTCGGCAAAATCGTCGACACGACGGATGCCGACCGGGGCTTCGTCCCGTTCAAGCACGACGGCAAGGACGAGGTCGTCCTCCTCGTCAACGACCTCGGCGCTGTCAGCGAGCTCGAGATGTCGGGGATCACCAATGAAGGTGAGCTCGACTTGTGTTCCGCACTGCCACCAGTCGCCTCGCTACCGATTGCCTTCTCTTACATCCCCAAGGGCTGACCATCGCTGACTCTCGCAGCCGTGTCGTGGCTGCAGAAGAAGAACATCACCGTCCGCCGCGTCTTCGCCGGGACGTACATGACCTCGCTTAACATGCCTGGTTTCTCCCTCACTCTCCTGCTCCTCCCTCGCCAGGGCGAGGCCTACTCGTCCCAGGACATCCTCAGCCTGCTCGACGCCCCGGCCAGCGCCCCCGGCTGGCGCTGGACCTCGGGCCAGGAGCCCGGCAAGCTCGGCGCCAAGGTCCAGGAGGCGGTCGCTCACAAGGGCAAGGAGGTTGACTTGGCCCGTGAGTCGGACACCATCCTTGCTGAGTCGTGTAATCCAGTGCTGAGGTGTAACAGCGGCCGACTCGACCGAGTTCCTCGCGGCCATTACCCGCGCGTGCAAGGCGCTCATCGAGGCCGAGCCGGAACTCACGAAGCAAGACCAGATCGCCGGAGACGGCGATGCGGGTCTCACCCTCGAAGCGGGCGCCAAGGGCGTCCTCAAGGCGATCAGCGAGGGCAAGATGTCGGGCAAGAACGTCATTGAAGACATCAAGCACATCTCCGAGGTGTGCGACGAAGACATGGGCGGCACTTCGGGTGCTCTCTATTCGTGAGTACAACCAAGCGATCCGCGCAGGTGATGAGTGACCTGGCTGACTCGAGAAGGATCTTCTTCGCCGGCCTGGGAACATCCCTCCGTGATCAAGCGAACTCTGGAGCCAAGTCCACCACCCCCGAGGTGTGGAGCAAGGCCGCCGCCGAGGCTCTCACCGTGCTCTACAAGTGTGAGTCGACGGTCTCGCCGACACGAATCCCCCACCCTTCACCTCCATATCCCTCTCCCGGCCTATGTGCCTGTTGGCCCCGGCCTCAATCGCGTACTGCTACGCCTTGCTGACTTCCTCAGACACCCGTGCCCGACCGCCGTCCCGCACGCTCGTCGACCCCCTCGAAGCCTTCGTGGCCTCGTTGCCGAGCAAGGGCCTCGCCGCTTCCGCCGACGACGCCCACGCCGCAGCCGACAAGACCAAGGAGCTCGTCGCCAAGGCTGGCCGAGGAGCCTATGTCAACCAGGAGGAGCTCAAGAAGAGGGAAGTGCCCGACCCGGGAGCGTGGGGTATCTGGCGTGTGGTCGACGGTCTTCGTGGCTACGAGGCGTGAGAGCGGGAACACGAGGGCCCGGTTTTGTTGCGAACGAACGTCAGGCGTATCGAGGGGTGACGGATGCATGTCTGCTTCTCGTATCGACTTGGTAGATCGTACATGGCCTAGTGCTCCACAAAGCCCTTGACCGCCTCCAACCAGCTGACGTAGTCCTGGGTATGATCAGCGTGTTGATATGGAGTTGGACCGCGGGACGCCGCGCTCACCTTCTGCTCCTTGTACTCGCAGTACGAGATGATGAATTGGGCTGCGTGTCGTCAGTTGCGTCGCCCCGATGGAGCCTGCACTCCGTCGAACTAGCTTACCAAGCCCGTCGTCGACTCCCCGCTCCGCGAGGAAGGCGCCAAACGCCTCCTGCACGCCGGCGTCCAGATGCTCATACTCTGCCGTAAAATCAGCACTGACAGAACTTTCGCTCGCTCATTTCAGATTCCAAACCAAATCCAGACACCGGAACACTCACGCGGGCCCATGTACTTGCTCCGCCTCTGCCAGTCACCCTCCGCCCCTTCCGCCTCGGCAACGGCGCTCTCGAACATCGCCACATTGGTCACCTCGAATCCATCCTCTCCAGCCTCGAGGTCCACTGACATGGCGTCCGGGTGGGCGTGCTTCGTGATCACGAGCGAGCAGGTGATGTATGGTGATGCGTCGGTGTCCTCGGCGGCGACTTCGCCCTCGATCGGGATCTCAGCGTCCGAGGGGACATCGAGGTCCGACACTTGGAAGGTGAGCTTGATCCTGCACGAGCACGTGTCAGCGATGCCACGGTACCGACGGACACCCCGAACGACAAGGTCTGGGTCCCAAGCAACGCAGCACGCACTTCTCGTTACCAAACTTGCGGACGAGGACGACATCATCGTTCATCGGCGCGTCGACAATGTCCCAAACTCCGTTGGAGCGGAAAGCATCGATGAACTCCGGGAGTTCGGGGAGAGTAGCCGCCGTCTCGAGCTCGTACTTTTGCTCAGCGGCAATCACGCCCGACAGCGCCGAGTCGGCTAAGGTCGGCGATCAGTCGCAGCACTTGGGGAACATCTTGCAGCCTTCCCCTGAAAGTGGGTGGGAGCGTTACTTACTCTCGCCGCTGCCGAGTCGACGGGGGGAGGTGGTGAAGTTTCGGGCGAGCGCCGCGACCGCTGGGCGGAAGGCCGGGACCACCCGTTGAGCGGGGAGGGCGGGGCGAGCATGCAGCGCTGCGCGAGCGATTGGGCGGAGAGCGCGGAGGGACATGTTGGGGAGATCAGGGTGGTTGTCGTTGTCGAAATGTCGAGTCGAGACGTTGGGCGGATTTATGCTGAGTTCCGGGTGCGGGAAAGTTGAGACGTCACGGAAGCACGGAAGCAAATCGCGGCAACGGTTACTGGTCGAGTTGATGATCACAATCTCACAATCACTACACAATGCAATACTTGAACAATCGTTTCAGTCAGAGGCAATCATGTAGCCCGAAAGGCTTCCTCCGCTCAACCAAAGGTGCTGAAAATCTTCCAATACTGACGTTCTCGCCGTCGAGGAGCTCGACAACACCGGGAATGTCTGATATCAAGCTCTTCAGGAATGCTCGCGTCTTCACGTCCGCCGGGGGCGACTCGGCACTGCACGAGGCAATGCTGGTTCGCGGCGACAAGATAGAGCACGTTGGCCTAGAGAAGGAGGCATGGGACAAGGTGGACAAGGTGAGTTGGCAAGCACTGCGCATACTAGAGTGGAACAACCAGCTCAGCCATGTCCCAGGAGTCAGACACCGTGGAGGAGCACGACCTGCACGGCTCGGTCGTCCTGCCTGGTTTCATCGACGCGCACACACATCTCATGCACTTCGGTTCGTCAATCGACAAGCTAGACACTCTCTGTCTCTCCATTCCCCAGATCCAGGCTGCCCTGGTAACCTACCGCGAAGCCTATCCGGCATCGCCCGTCATCTTCGCCAAGTCTTTCACCTTCGACACGCTCGGTGGCCCGCCACATCGCTCGGCCTTGGATCTTGTCGTCCCGGATATACCCGTCATCATCGATTGCGCTGACCTGCACTCGTGCTGGCTCAACTCGGCGGCTCTGGCCGCGATGGGCATCGAGGAGACCACCCCCGACCCTCGTGGTGGGACGTTTGAGCGGGATGAGCACGGCAGGTTGACGGGTCTGGTGCTGGAACAAGGGGTGTTTGATATCGTGTGGCCCTGGATGGCCAAGCGGATCACTATCGGGGATAGGCTGGGCTATCTCGAGCGCGTGTTTGACGAGTTGTTGTCGACCGGGATCTCGGGCGCGGTGGATATGGCCATGACCGCCGAAGATCTCGACGCGCTGGAACACTACCATGCCACTCGGGGCTTGCCCATCCGCATCGCCGCCCACTGGTTCCTCCGTCCCAGTGAGACCGAGGCGGGACGTGCTACCCAAGTCCTCGAGGCAGCCGAACACAGGCGACGACTGCAGTCCCTCTCGCCCTGGTTGCGCGTCGTCGGCGTCAAGATCATCTCCGACGGAGTTGTCGATGCGTGCACGGCGTTTCTCAAGGAACCGTACTTTGACGGAACTCGTCCTGGTCCGATCTGGCCAGCCGAGGATCTCGCGCAGGTAGTATGCCTCGCAGACAAGTTGGATCTGCAACTTGCGATTCACGCTGTTGGAGACGCGGCAATCGATCAAGCTCTCGACGCCATCGAGGGCGCCATGCTTGCCAACGGACCGCGACCTCTCAGACGACATCGTGTGGAACACCTCGAGGTGGTCCGACCAGACCAGATCGATCGGCTCACCCGACTCGGCATCGTCCCGTCCATACAACCATCACATGGCGATCCAATCTACTTGCCCAATTGGCTCGACGTCCTTGGGAGGGATCACCGATGTACCCGCGCATTTGCGTGGAGCGAGTACGTCGACGCCAACTCCAAGGTCGCGCTCGGTTCAGACGTGCCCGTGGCGCCGCATCACACCCTCCCAAACCTCTTCACGGCGACGACGCACAGATCCGCCGTGGATCCCAATGCCGAAACGACCGATCCGATCCTACTCGGACTCGAACGCTTTTCGCTCGATCTCGAGACGGCGATACGGTTCTACACTGCAGGCTCGGCGTATTCCACGCGAGACGAGGACGCGTACGGGACACTGCAGCCGGGCAAGGTCGCCGACTTTTGCGTGCTAGATGTGGATCCATTTCGCGATGGAGTGGTAACGTTGAGGGAGGCACAGAAAGCCGTGAGCCAGACGTGGGTCGCGGGCAAACGAGCTTGGAGGAAGGCGTCGGCGGAGGAGGGGGATGCTTTGGCAGCGTGACTTCGACGGGTCCTCAGCATAAGCTCGTACATAGAGTATGACCGGTTGGCAGGTCACGAATGATCGACATGAATTGTCCGAAATTCCAATTCAGGCGACACGTGTTATCAGTGCCTCCGTTCCGTAAGGACAGGGTCGACCACACCTGTAGAATGCAGCCTACGGGAGACCAAGCGATGGCATTGGATAGGGATCATGTCAGACAGCTGATTTGTAGGGGTTGACTCAAAAAGATCAAGTCTCTGCGGTGATCGAAACCGCGACCTCAAGATGACAAATCGATACGCGGGTAAACCCGCTGGAATCGTAGTCTTGCGTTCTACCACTAAACTAAGAGACCATAGATTTTTGGTAATTTGGGACACTGTTATACCTTTCCGTTTTTGCCATCGGCAGACCACGGCTAATCCCCATTCGATGCATGGCCTTACCACCTAGTGTGTATCCAGGTGAGCCGAGTTGATGCGCCTTGTCAAGTCTGACAGGAACTTGAGGATCTGTTCGCGATTTCAAGCCCGGGTGATGACCGGAATCTCTATGCTGACCAAGACTCCTCTGCGATAAACATGCGCCATTCAGGAACGTCGACCCACTGAGTGACTCGTGGCGTCGGTGACCGAACCAAGCCACGCCAAGCCCAACGGATGGATGTTTAAGAGCCTGTCCAATTGACCAAGAACAATCAGAACTGTTGTTGTGCCCAAGACGCCATGAAGCGCCAGCTCATCTTGTCATCAAGATATGTGCGTGTTGTGCTTCCCCGTGGCGCGAGAACGAGTCGAACGACGACAGCCCTCTTCCCATGTTATCTCCGCCACGCCGCCACCTGCTTGAGGTCGACATGGGCATAAGGTCTTATGCTCGTTCGCATGCACCTGCAGTCCAGCAGAGCGCAGTCCGGCCACACCAGAGCGGCGGGCCGCAGTTAACTGTCTCCTCAGCGGCCTGCGTCTGGGTGGATTGCGCTCGCAGCTCGCAGCGCGAAAGCTATGCGGGGCGGGAGCACCACGCGCCCTTGGGCTTCCCGTTTTTCGTCCACGGGCTGCTAGACCAGAGGACGCCACACTAAATTAGACAGTCGGTGACGAATAACGATGACTTTGCATGGACGTCAACATCGCAGTGACCGCGACGTCAAGCCCGAGACCGCCCCTCGCACTGTATACATAAGAAGCGCATGCATGCGATGCACGCGATCTGGTCCATCACCGCACCCACAACACTCCAACCACATCAACAACATGAAGTTCGCCTTCGCCTCGATCCTCGCACTCGCACTTGCGACCGCCGGTGTTTTCTCCGCTGAGGTCAGGGCTCCCCAGCCCGATCTCGCTCAAGTCGAGGCTCCGGCTGTCGACCGTCGCGCCCAGCTTTCTAATGGCGAACGGTTCGCTCGTGGGCTCCCGCCAAACCCCCCGACTCGCCATTATGACCCTGCTCGTGCCGCCGGTGCGTAGCCACATTTCCGCTTCACTGTATTCAAAGCCGGGCCCCTGCTCGAGCCATCGGGCCAGAGCCGGAGCCGTCGATCACTGACCCTGCGACAACAGCTCTGAAGCCCCGAGCGTCCCAAGGCTAAACCCTGGCTGACGGGTGCGATCACAGCTCTGAAGCCACGAGCGTCGTGAAACCTCCCCCCAACCTGACCACCCACAACCCATCCGCCTTTGGCTATCACGGAGCGTCTCGTCGTGTGTCTCGAGCTTGTATAGATCTGCGTTGCGAAGCGTTGCGATGCGTTGTTCGAGGCGTGTCAGGTACTTCTGGCTTCACATCTGGTGCTGCGTGTCTTGTGGTGGAAGTCGGACCCTCTGTGCCACAGAATAAGAATATGTACTGTATCGCACTGGATGTGTTCATGTACCCATCTGGCAGGCTCCCAAGCGAGAGTGGGGCACGGTTGCACCCCTGTATTGTACGAGCTATCGACCTGGACAACGCATCGCGTGCGGATATGGACGGCCAATGGATCAGACAGCGCAAATGCGCAGAGAAACGTCTTACGGGGGTACCTCCTCGCGATGTAGCGGTGGCCCTCCCCACTCCATAGCCCACACATAGGCAGACTGGCTCAGTTTATCCGGAAGTATCCGAGGACAAAGGCAGCTTGTCACCTCCTCACGCTGCCCACGCACGCCGGTGTCCATGGATTGACATACCTGTGAACCAACCCATGAGCAAGCGCCACAGGTACGCTGCCCTGCCGCAACGCAGCAATGGCCTTCCGCCCGGCAATGGTTCCTGCTGTGCATGGTCCTACTGATGTCCAGTGGCGCCTGGAGTCGAGTCGGATTGTTACTCATCTCTGATCAGGTATATCGGATTCACAACAGTGGGTTCAGCAGGCAAGCGAAAGACTTCGTAAGGGGCGTACAATTCACATTGACTTGCTCATCAAGCACCACAAAATGCCACCCAACGCCAAACGCTGTTGCATTGTGCGATATCCTTTCCTGCACTGAGCGCGAGCTGCGGGGCGATCCTTCTACTGAAGAATGCCATTTCACAGCCTTCCAGCTCTTCGATCAGGCACTCAGGTACTCAGCATGCATGCGAGTGGCATGTCGAGGATCACAGGATGAGGATGACAATCCCACGGCTTGACCCAGATTTGCACAGCAAGCGAGTGACTATATTGGGCGTGTTGACAGGTCTCACAGTACAAACAAACCGATGAGCACCTCAACACTCACTCCACTCGATGTTATAAGTCGGGGTAGTCTGGTAGAAGCATGGTCACGATCAAACCCGCAAGTCTTCCATCCACCCCCGGTCCACTTTCATCGACATCTTCGTTACTTCGGCTAAGATGAGAACATCGCTCTTCTCATTCCTCACTCTCGCCTTGTCGGTCGTCGGGGTGATGTCCATGGACATGACCCGGGGCAGGATCGACCGTCGTGGCCAGCTGTCCAACTCTCAGCGACTCGCACGCGGACTGCCCCCGAAAGCACCGGTCCGCCTCTATGATCCGAGTCGTGCTCGAGGTGAGCCTCACATTCTCCCTGTCGCGTGAGGATAGCATCAGGCCTGACGCACTTCTTCTCAATCTTAAGCGTTGGCTCCCCGTGCATCTATGCTCCCCGGCGGCCAGTCGGTCTACCTCGCCGTGACTAGCAACAGCACCACCCAGTTCGCATATGTAATGTCCAACGGGACGCTGGGAGTTGGGGTGAGCGATCCTGCATTTTGCGACTTCCAAAAGTGACGACGTGGACTCGACAGCGATCACAGCCCGGGAGAACGCTGATCGAGACTCATAGCCCACTGCGAATGCGTCCGCATTCGTTTTGCCAAACACTGGGTCACTTTATCTGCAGTCCGTTCAATACCAGACGACGGTCGACGGACAGACTACGTACAAATACGTCCAGATGGCCAACGACACCGACTACGGCGCGTGAGTACGAGTACGAGTTCAGTACCAGCTCTCCACTCGTCCCTCACACTGCCTCGACGAGGTCGGGGCTCCTCCCTTGCATGACTCCGACTCTGAGTACGAGTACGGCAGCTAAGCCTGCAACCTGTAGGGACGGTTACTACCGCCTTGTCGGGTCCGAGACGAGCGACAATGGCTCCCCGACGACTGCAGCGCCTTACGAATCGACAATCTTCAACTACACAGCTGTACCGGGCGCCGTCAACCTCACGTACACGAATTCCACCGGCAACGAGTCTCCCCTGTACGCATTTGTCGACGTTGGGGGCTATCTCACCGTGAGGTTGAACGCGACCGCCGATTCGAATCACACGGCAGTGACAGCATTGCAGTGGTTCACCGTCCTGCCGCCGTGCCGTAGGTCGAGGCTGGACCCTCGCTCCTGCTGAGGTGGAGACGGAGATGGGAGCTAGACACGGCTTCAGTACTTGAGGGCATTATCAGTGATGATCGGACACTTAGGCTCAGGACAATGACATGGACCATACCATACTCTTTCATTCACTCACTTCAACTCACCTGCGTTCGGCAGACACGTCTTCGGGCGACGTGACTACCGCACCGAGTACTTGTACGGTACGAGTACCATACGAGTGACATGCCGTACCTGTGCAGTGTTCACCATGAGTTACAATGAGTAAACAGCACTTATCCGATGCGGACGTTGTGGGGTCATCAGGAGACTTTGGAGGTCGCTCCAATGCCCGGTTCACTCCACCCATCCGCGGACTCGATGACGGCACAGAAGCTCGTGGAGAAACAAGGTGTGCCCTCACGGATGCTACTTGTCAATGCATCGACCTGACATACCATGCCAAGTCGTCAAGTTGTCGGCAAGGGGAATAAAGTGTTGGTGTTCTGTCAAGACCCGCCCGGTACAGTACCGAGTGCGCCACCACCACCAATTCGGCTCGTCCATCGCCACGACTATGTGGCCGGGCAGGAACAGAATCCAAACATTTAAGCGAGCGGGGCGGTCGGTGGCGCACGCGAGATATGCATCGATGGGCTCCGGCGAGGTGCATGTCACGTATGTCATACCTCCCAGGTCACCAAAAGTGCGCATCCGCTGATGTGGCGGGTCACAGTGTCGTGACCAGGAAGGAACTCGGGGGGCAACAATGCGGTATAGATCTCGAGTTCGCAGGCCCCGACAGAATCAGATCGCAGGCGCAGGTCTGGGAATGATCGCCGAACAACGTGCTAGCTAGTCGTGATTATGCCTATGTGCTCGTACTCGTACAGTAGCGTCATGCAGCACAGAGCTCCTACTGCGGGAGAACGGTTTCCAAACGGTGACAACCGGTCGACTCCGCACGAGCCACGAGTCGGCCCGTGTGTGGTGCCGCACGATGCAGCTCGCACTACTACGGCGGCTCCTGTCAACCCCTGTCGGAATGTCGGAGGGCTTGCCTGCCTACGCCATGCCTGATGACCCCGTCGCCGTTTGCCTTTCGTAATGACGATGTCCCAGTCGGTGCCACGCCACGGCGAATGACGACTCGACTGGGTGGGTTCCTGAGTGAATAACTGCGCCGGAAGCCGGCGTTCCTGCGCCCTTCGGCACCGCAAAAACACCACAACCACAACCACGACGTTGGCTGGTTTCCCCCTAGGTTACTCCTTGATCGGGTCCGCGAGCACTCGTATACTCCAGTGTGTAGATGTAGGCGAGTACTCGGCTCCGTATGGTAGGAACGAAGCATGAGAGATTCCGGCACCGCTCCGCGGCTGGGCCGCCAAGAGGCCACGCAGGGGCAGGGGCAGCACAGGGGGGGCCCACGTCGTTCCTGTGGACATTTGCTGCTGCTGCTGCGGACTCGTCGCTCAATGACATGCTGCTGCTGTAATGAGTTGCGCAGAGGTCATCGACACAGCTTGTCACCGCTTCTGCGACTCTG